CATAGTCCATGGATGGTAGTTAGAAAGATTTAGCAAAGCAATATGTGTAAAAGTGTCTAGAAGCACAGTTCCTGGCATATTTCCATTTCTAGTGTGTAAGCTATGAAATTATGGCTCAGACATGTGCTGCGACTTGCTTAGATTTACATTGCCATTAAGTACCAGCACCAAGGGGAAGAGTTGGGTGTTTAAAGTCCAAAGCCTTTTTTTTGGTCACTTCACCAGAGTATCTCACTCTGGTGAATTATTACTGGTCAGAAAGAACACTGAGGACATTAGATTAACACAAATCTGTTACTAGGAATTCAAAAGCAACTTAGCTATGTCCTCATGTCAGGTAATCTTTTCATATAAAGAAGAGCACAATGGAATTTGCCATCTTTTATGGTAGTTACTAAGGTTGTTAGTAATGATACCCAGTGAATTATTAGAGGAATAGTTTAAATTTCACTTACAAGTATTGTTAGGCCTCTGTGTGCAGTGTATGCATGTTCTGTGTGCAACTGTATGCATGTTCTCTTATATTTCAGTAAGCACATGCTTTGTTTAGGGATTTTAAAAAACGTTGTTGTTGTTGTTTAGGGATTTTAAAAAACATTGTTGTTGTTATTATTATTATTATTATTATTATTATTATTATTGAGACCGAGTCTTACTCTGTTGCCCAGGCTGGAGTGTAGTGGCGTGATACTGGCTCACTGTAACGTTTGCCTCCCAGGTTCAAGCAATACTCCTGCCTCAGCCTCCCCAGTAGCTGGGATTATAGGTGCCTGCCACCACGCCTGGCTAATTAAAAACATTATTTTTACATCTTGAAAAATACTTTTAAATCTCTAAGATTTGAAGATATTAGGTTATTTATTTATTCTTCCCAGCCAACTTTACTGAGGTATGAATGATGAATAATTGTGTAGCTAAATCTATATCTGTCTATCTTTCTATCAACAATCATCTATCTATCAATCAGTCATCTGTCTATCTGATAAACAACATGACTTTTTGGAGACAGTGTCTCACACTGTCAGCCTTGACCTCCCAGGCTCGAGATTTTCCCACCTCAGCCTCAGTGGGACCACAGGCACATATTACCAGGCCTGGCTAGTTCAAAAAATTTTTTTTGGTAGAAACAGGGGTCTCCCTGTGTTGCCTAGGCTGGTCTCAAATTCCTGGGCTCAAGCAGTCCTCCCGCCTTGGCTTCCCAAAGTGCTGAGATTACAAGCATGAGCCACCTCACCTGGCTACATTTTGATATATGTGCACATTGTGAAATCATTACCACAGTCAAGCTAACATATCCATCACCTCAGCTGGATTCATAGGCTCTGTTGCCCAGGCTGGAGTGCAGTGGTGTGATCTCGGCTCACTGCAACCTCCGCCCCCTGGGTTCAAGCAGTTCTCCTGCTTCAGCCTCTCTAGTAGCTGGGATTACAGGCGTGTGCCACCACACCCAGCTAGTTTTTGTATTTTTAGTAGAGATGGGGTTTCGCCATGTTGGCCAGGCTGATCTCGAACTCCTGACCTCAGGTGATCCACCTGCCTTGGGCTCCCAAAGTGCTGGGATTACAGGTGTGAGCCACTGCGCCCAGCCCTTCTCTCTTTTTTTTTTTTTTTGTTGTTGAGCTAGTTATCTTTTTAAAAATTTTGTATTGGCTGGGTGTGTTGGCTCATGCCTGTAATCCTAGCACTTTTGGAGGTAGAGGCAGGCAGATCACAAGGTCAGGAGTTTAAGACCAGCCTGGCCAACATAGTGAAACCTCATTTCTAGTAAAAATACAAAAATTACTTGGCGTGGTGGCATGCGCCTGTAGTCCCAGCTACTCAGGAGGCTGAGGCAGAAGAATTGTTTGAACCCGGGAGGTGGAGGTTGCTGTGAGTTGAGATCGCACCGTTGCACTCCAGCTTGGGCAATAAGAGCGAAACTCTGTCTCAAAAAAAAAAATATTGTGGCAAGAACACTTGAGATCTACTCTCTCAGCAAAAATCAAGTATTCAGTACATTGTGTCCAGAACTTACTTACCATATAACTGAAAATTTATACCTATTGACCACCATACCTTTTCACTCACCCCCCAGTCCCATAACAGTTCAACTTTTTTTTTTTTAAATAGATTCCATAGAGGCCAGGCGCTGTGGCTCACGCCTGTAATCCCAGCACTTTGGGAGGCCAAGGCAGGCGGATCACCTGAGGTCAGGAGTTTGAGACCAGCCTGGCCAACATGGTGAAACCTCATTTCTAGTAAAAATACTAAAACTACTAAAAAAAAAAAAAAAAAAAAAAAAAGAAAAGAAAAGGCTAGGTGTGGTGGCTCACACCTGTAGTCCCAGCTACTTGGGAGGCTGAGGCAGGAGAATCACGTGAACCCGGGAGGCGGAACTTGCAGTGAGCCGAGATGGCGCCACTGCTCTTCAGCCTGGGCGACAGTGTGAGATTATGTCTCAAAAATAAATAAATAAATAAAGATTCCATATATAAGTGAGATCACATAGTATTTGTCTTTCTGTGTCTGGCTTATTTCACTTAGCATGTATTTCAAGTTCGTTCATGTTGTAAATGACAGGATTTTCTTTGTTTTTAAGGCTGAATAATCTTCCATTCTCTATGTGTATATATGCCACATTTTCTTTATCTGTTGACAGCATGTTTCTACATCTTGGGTACTGTGAATAATGCTGGAATGAACAAATGTTTCTTTGAGATAATGATTTTATTTCCTTTGGACATATGCTCAGAAGTGGGATTGTTGGTAATTCTACTTTTAAGTTTTTCTGGACTCTCCATACTCTCCCACCAGCGGTAGACCAGGGTTCCCTTTCTGTATATCCTCACCACTGTGTAATCGCTTTTGACTCTTTGATAGTAGCCATTCTGACAGGTATAAGGTGATATTTCATTGTGGCTTAAATTTGCATTTCCCTGATGATTAGTAATGTTGAGCATCTTTTCATAAGACTGTTGGCCGTTTTTATGTCTTTGGAAAAATGTGTATTCAGATCCTTTGCCCATCTGTTAATTGAATTATTTGGGTTTTTCTTTTTTTTTTTGCTATTGAATTGTTTGAGTTCCTTATTATGTATTTTAGATATTAGCCCCTTATCAGATACATGGTTTGCGAATATTTTCTCCCATTCCATAGGTCGCCTTTTCATTTTATTGTTTCCTTTACCGTGCAGAAGCTTTTTAGTTACATGTGGTTCCACATCACTGTTTTTGTTTTTGTTGTCTGCGCTTTGGTCTCAAATCCAAAAAGTCATTGTCAAGACCAGTGTTTTCTTCTAGGAGTTTTGTGGTTTCAAGTTTAAGTCTTTAATCTATTTTGAGTTGATTTTTGTGTATTGTATAAGATAAGGGTCCAGGCCGGGTGTAGTGGCTCATGCCTGTAATCCCAACACTTTGGGAGGCCGAGGCGGGCGGATCACGAATTCAGGAGTTCAAGACCAGCCTGACCAACATGGTGAAACCCCATCTCTAGGATCATGAGGTCAGGAGTTCCAGACCAGCCTGACCAAGATGATGAAACCCCATCTCTACTAGAAATACAAAAACTAGCTGGGCGTGGTGACGTGTGCCTGTAATCCCAGCTACTCTGGAGGCTGAGGCAGGACAACTGCTTGAACCCAGGAGGCGGAGGTTATAGTGAGCTGAGATCACACCACTGCACTCCAGCTTGGGTGACCGAGCAATATTCTGTCTCAAAAAAAAGACAGGATCTTGCTATGTTGCCCAGGCTGGACTTGAACTCCTGGGCTCAAGCAGTCCTGCAACAGCCTCCTGAATAGCCAAAACTATAGGTGTGCACCACTGCCTGCAGCTCCAACACCATTTATTGGTGCCTGTGTCAAAATTAGTTGATTATATGTGTGTGGGTTTATTTTTAGATTCTTTGTTCTATTGCATTGGTCTATTTGTTTGTTTTTAGGCCAGTATTAGGTAATTTTATATATGATGAACTGTTTAAAGTTAAAATATTCTGATTCATAACCTAAATTAAAAAAAAATTATACCTAGTTTTTTTTTTTCATAATCTAAATTTTATCTAAAAGAAATGTGCAGGTATTTATAATGTAGTTAGACTTGCCTGTGTCTTTCTGTACTTAGTGGGAATTTACTGTCAATTATTTGTACTAGAGTTAATCGTGTAACAAATTTGATAGAAATGTAATTTTTCTTTAGGTCTCTAGTAGGCCAGAAACAGGGACTTTTAGGGGGAGTTTTAATAATGTGAAAGTAATGAAGCCGAAGATAAGTAAGTTTTTAAAAGGAAAAATAAGAATGTTCTTTCTTTTTATTAAACTGTAGCCTCTGTCAAATTAGGTGATACTTGAGTAATCTGACAGTTGTCTAGAATTAACCGGATCTATTTGAAACTCACTGTAGCTCTGAAAACATGAAATGACTTAATTTGTAAGAAGTTATTAAAAGAGATTTTTGTGAGTGGGAAATGGGGGAAACAACTTATTAGATTTTTAAGTTAGTTTTAAATACAGTTAGACAATAATTCATTAGAATAAATTGCTATTTTTCATTCTTACATTGTAAAATATGAAATCAAGTTAGTAACAATTAGGGAACTTTTTACGTAAGTACTTAATTGAAGACATGTTTTGAAACCACTCACTTCTCTTTGCAGCATTTATTCTGGCCAAGTTTTTTTTGTACAAGTCCATCATTGCTCTATAATAGCAATGTTGTATTATAATCACTTTTGGGGTGCCGGAAACGTGGGACACATTGGTTAATTGTTTTATGTTTCTTTATGCTTATAATTTCAAGGATACTTTCTTGAAATTCACTGTTTCACAGAGGGGGATGAAGAAAGGAGGAGTTAATTTTTTTATCATTATATCTCACAGTTCTGTTGCTTTTCTGCCTTTTAGACAAACGAATTGCTGAGTAATTTTCTTACATTATGATTCAGAAAATAATTGAACTGAACTTACTGATCTTTTGTAACTTTGTTCTAAGTTCTTCATCTCTGTGCTTCTACATTTTATGTGTTAGGTATAATTGAAGTCCTGAAAGTAATGCAAGAATTGGGAGTACCTCCTGATCGGGAAACATATATAGGTTACGTGATTCCATGCTTCAATAGTATAAAGTCAGCACGTGCCATTTTGCAGGTGAGTACAAGTGTGGTTTTAATTTAATAATTGAAGAGAGTGTCTTTCCTCCTTAATGTTTAGTAGTCACACACAAAAATGTCATTGAACTGAGGACTTAAAATGGTCAAATCTGTGTACAATTTTCTCTGTTTTTTGAGGCGGAGTTCCTCTCGTTGCCCAGGCGGGAGTGCAGTGGCACAATCTGGGCTCACTGCAACCTCTGCCTCCTGGGTTCAAGCAATTCTTCTGCCTCAGCCTCCCGAGTAGCTGGGATTACAGGATGCGCCACCATGCCTGGCTAATTTTCTATTTTTGGTAGAGACAGGGTTTCTTCATGTTGGTCAGGCTGGACTCGAACTCCTGACCTCAGGTGATCCGCCTGCCTCGGCCTCTCCAAGTGCTGGGATTATAGGTGTGAGCCACCGCGCCCAGCCCTGCATACAATTTTCTAAAGCTTTGTAAAAAATATTAGTTGGTATAACATTTATAGCGTCAAAATTCAAAAAGACAAAGCAGCCTTTTTCTTGTGTATTAAAAAGACAATATGCCAGATTGGGAAAAATTAAAACAATATTAACTCCTGATCCCGCCCTGAAATGCACCTGAAATTTTCATTTATAAATTAGATTTTATTTTATTTTATTAAAGAAGCAGAGGTTTCAGTACGTTATCCAGGCTGGTCTTGAACTCTGGACTTAAGCAATCATCCTGTCTCAGCCTCCTGAGTAGCTGGGATCATAGGCACATGTTACTGTACCCTGCTTCAGTTTTCACTTTTTGAATATTATTTTTCACTTCCCTATTAATTTTCATAAAGTGTGCACTAGTAGTATATATACTAGTCTCTCTCTCTCTCTGTCTTTTTTTTTTTTTTTTTTAAACTCCAAACCTTTGTTTTCCTACCAAATACTTCTGGTCCCTACCAGAGTAGGCAAGCTGTTGATAAAGAGGCACATGAAGATGTTGATTGGGACAGTGCATTGGATTAGCAAAGGCTGCATTTTCCACTTTCAAAACAGAATGCTTAGCGCTGAATATATGAGTTACAGAAACAAAACAAAAAGTGCTTTGCAATTAGGAACAAGATGGCAGAGCACCTAATACTTAATAAGGAACATGTTGTTTAAAAGAGGTTTCCTATACAGTCATTCATATAATACCTTGATTTTTCTAATAATGTTAGTGTTTCTTTCATTAAAATAATTATATAATTACAGTCTTCTGAAGTGTTAGGGTTTATATCTTCAGTGTCTTCACCTCTTTCCCTAAGTTCTTAGTGGGGTATGTTGAGCCTGTACTATACATACTTTACTGTTTAAAATTTTTTTTAAGTAACTTTCCCACATATTCTTACTTTTTCAGATGTTCTCTTTGCAGAAATATAGCCCCCAGATCCAGTGTCTTCTTGGTTACTGCTTTGGCTTTCTCATTAGTGACTTAGGGAACAGCAGATCTAATTTGGAAACTTATCCCAAATTTGGTTACATTTCATTCTCATCTTAACTGTCTCACCTTCATTGCTGGAATTTCAGTAGTATTGAGTGTTTGGGGCTTGAAAACAACTACTCTGTTAAGTGCTTAATAGAACCCACAGTATTGATCTGCTTTTTTTTCTTTTTTCCTTTTTTCTTTTTTTTTTTTTTGAGGCAGTCTCGCTCTGTCGCCCAGGCTAGAGTGCAGTGGTGCAATCTGGGCTCACTGCAACCTCCTCTGCCTACCGGGTTCAAGTGATTCTTCTGCCTCAGCCTCCCAAGTAGCTGGGATTACAAGCACCCACCACCACACCCGGCTAATTTTTGTATTTTTAGTAGAGATGGGATTTCACCATGTTGGCCAGGCTGGTCTCAAACTCCTAATCTTAGGTGACCAGCCTGCCTAGGCCTCCCAAAGTGCTGGCATTACAGGTGTGAGCCACTGCGCCCGGCCTGATAATGCCTTTTGTCTTCAGCTGTACATTAAAAAGTACATTTTTTCATCAGTTTTCAGAAATTACATAATAAATGTTTGTTGATAAATTAGAGAATACGAGTAAGTGGTAGGGCTGTACAATCTGTCCATAGTTCCTTGAGATAGTCATTGCTAAGCATGTATATTCTTTCAGATGTATAATAGGCTGGAGAAATCTCTTCTAGCAAAAGAGTATACTGTTCATATTATCAAGCAACTCTTATTATACTGTTCCTATTACCCACCTAACTTGACAGAGGCTACAGTTTAATAAAAAGAAAGAACATTCTTATTTTCCTTTTAAAAAAAAACTTCTCTTTGGCTTCATTACTTTCAAACTCCCCCTAAAAGTCTCTGTTTCTGGCCTACTAGAGACCTGAAGGAAAATTACATTTCTCTCATATTTGTGTCATGATGAAGTCTTTTTCATTGGACACCTTTTCATAACAGTATTTAATTCCACAAAATGTATTTTATGTTTGCTGTTTCATTGTATGGGTATGCCATAATTTATTTTTTATTATTGCTTATTGCTGATTAGGTGGTTTTTTAAATATACTATAATAAAATGATTCAATAAATGTATTTGAGCTCAATTTTGACTCATATATTTAAATTGTTAAACAAGTGATGTTGGGACAAGTGATGAGCCTCTCTGAGTTAAATTAAATTAAATTTGATCCTGGCCAAACTGTGTGCCCTAGAATATTTTAGGTTAATCCATTGAATTTTTGTTTTGTCTTGAATGGGAGAATTGTTTTAGTATCCTCAGTAGTAAGCTTATCCCAGAAGTAAGGCCCTCTAAAGGCATCAGATCATCTGTATTTGAAGATGAGCATTTAATTTGGAATGTTGGAATGTCATCTTTAAATTTTTGCTAAAATTCAATTTCTGAGCTTATGTATTTTTCTAGAAAATCAGAGAATGTGGTGAGTCAAAGAATCAGGAAAACAGGAACTTTGGCATATCAAAATATTGTTAGCTGAGATGTATTCTCATTGATATATGCTTTATCTCCAGGAAAATGGATGTCTGTCTAATAGTGATACGTTTTCTCAAGCTGAATTGAGAAGCGAAGCAATAAATGGGAACTTAGACTTTGTATTATCATTTTGTAAGTATACTACATTAGCAGTAAACTTGATAGATTTAGTTACTATTGAGGGCATGCAAGGTGGTTCATGCAATGAAAGCAAGGAAGGTTTTATATGTTTTATTAAAGCCAGACTGATAAAACGGTTTATGAGCTGAACTTGTGGATAATTTGTAAGTAATTTTAATGTTGTAAGGACATTGAATATTTTATGTAATATGGTGTTAGACTGAAGGCTGGACTGGAGACCCTGAAGATGTGGATATTCTTTATAATTTGGCCACCGATTATGTGATTTAGAAGAAGTCTTCTAACCTCTCTGCTTCACTTTTTAGGGTAGTACTACCCAACTTGGGCGAGTTGTGAAAATCAAATGTGATATTGTTTCTGAAGTGTTTTTTAAACTAACATCTATTACAAAGACTTCTAGTCTTCATTAACAACACAGCAAATGTTTACTAAACATTTTTAAATGCTAGGGTGCTTTATAATGCTTATCACATGTTAATAAAATTATCTCCATTGGTAGATGACTAAAGGCATAGAGAAGTTAAATGATTTGCCCAAGGTTAGTGATTGGAACCAGAAGTAAGATGTTCAGACTTTAACTTTGTTCTTTTCACCATACTGCACTTTATTTTATTTTATTTATTTGTGAGACACAGTCTCACTCTGTCACTTAGGCTGGAATGCAGTGGCGCAAACTCGGCTCACTGCATCCTCCGCCTCCTGGGTTCAAGCGATTCTCCTGCCTCAGCCTCCCAAGTAGCTGGGATTATAGGCACGTGCCACCATGCCCAGCTAATTTTTTGTATTTTTAGTAGAGACAGGGTTTCACCTTGTTGGGTAGGCTGGTCTCGAACTCCTGATCACAAGTGATCCACCTTCCTCAGCCTCCCAAAGTGCTGGGATTACAGGTGTGAGCCACTGTGCCTGACCTGCATTTTATTTTTAATTAATAAATAAGATGTTCTTAAGAGACCTTATTTTTTAACATGTCCATGGTGTTGCTTGACAGTTTTTCAGATCTTCTGAAAAATATGTCATTTACAAACAAAACACAGACATACATTAACTTTTAGTTCCCTAAAATGTTAACAGTTAAGCTCTCATTAATGTTATATTCAAATTGTATAGGTAGAAGCTTTATACAAACCAGGTTATTGGTATGTATTACTTGTGAATGTCACTTAAAATATTTGTTGTAATATTGTAAGGGAAAGACAAAGTGTCCAGTATGAAAAATAGTGACTGTTGTAGTTATTTGAGTCAAATACTGAGTATTATTGCTGGCTGCTATCTGAGTGTATTGATTTTGCCTTCCACTCTGTATAATACATAGATTTTCCATACTGACAAGAAAGGAATCTGGGCTCACGAGGTGGATCCACGAGAGCTGCCTTTTCCTTTTATCATATCATCCATTCCACTTCGTTGTCAACCTCTTGATTTTTCAGGCTTGTTTGTTGCTAAGGAAACTAGATGCTTTTTGTCAGCAGCCTTCCAGCTGAGATGTTTCTAGTCACCTTTTTAATGAATAAAAACTTGACAGTATTCTGTAGAATACTATTTTGAATAGTATAAAAATGAATTTTCAAGAGGTTGTTTATTAGATTTGAAAAAGAAAAATGCCAAGAAGTTTGCCAAGTATTTGAGCTTTTCCTGTCAGTGCCTTCCCCTCCAGCTTTGATTTCCAAGTCTTTGAAGAGCTGTTGGTTCTATAATTGCTGGTATGTGCTTTAGGCAGCTCTTAGGAATGCACTACTGGTTACTACCTCACAGGAAATGTCAGGTAGTAGAGAAGAGTAAATGGATTATCTTGATTACATTTTGTAGTAGTAGAGAACGTTTTCCCACTTGTGTTTGTAGGCATGGAAGATTAATTTGATCATATAAAATTCAAAGTTGCTAAGAGGCATGTGGTTGTGTTCCCTTTAAAATTCCTTGAGTGACTCAGTGCAGGTCATTTTAAAAATGACTTAGATTTTCAAATGCTGTAAAAGCACTGAGAAACTTAGGCTCCTTGTTCAAGGAGTATAGCAGCTGATATAAAACAATTCTCCTTACGTGTGTGGGTTAATTTGTTACTTTTGGGGAGATGAACACTGAAAATGGACCATGACTTTTCCCATGGGATTTTTCTTTAATGAAACCAGGTATCTTAACCTTCATTTGAACTGTATTTATTGTCTTCAGAATTTGCTTCTACTATGAATTCCTCTCTAATCCCATCCTTTTTGTACTATTCAATAGCCACATTACCGTTATAGTGAAAAGATTAACTCAATTACTTATATATAACATGGTTCCATTTTAATACAATTGCAGGGAAAAATAAATTCAGGGAATGCCTACTGTGATCTCATCCCTTGCTAGTTTGGCAAGGGTTATGTGAAGAGTCAGTGTGAGGTGTGATTCTTACACAATGGCACATCAGGCTTATAATGTCGGCATTGAAACATACAAGGTGGTAGACTGTTAAATGTCAAAATGAGTAGTAGAGCAAACAAATACTCAGAAAAGTGAAAGATCAATATAAGTCAATTACATAACAGACATGTGGCCTGTTTTATTATTACTTTAGGTGGTTACTCTTGTGTGAGTGCAGGTCCTTGATCATAGTGAAAAATGAAATGAGAAAGTATGAATGGTTCAACAGAACCCAACACCTCTCTGAGAAAAGAATTTTTCCTCTCATCTACTATCTTTAAAGAACAAAAGTCCTGTAGGGTATTACAGTCTCTCTCTTCATGGTGCCACCATGTCCAACAACATACAGCCTCAGTATGTGTACTAGGCTGACTCTTGAGTCTGCTGGTATATTAGTAATTGCCATTTATAGGAAAGGATATTTATAAATTGATTAGTTGTATATATTCATGAAATTTAAAAATACATTAAAAGGGTAGCTTATATTGCAGATATATATTACTGCATTGTTTAATTTTGTATGAAAACATTTTTTATTTTTTAAATACAATTTCCAAAATGAAAACTAAAAGGTTTTCAATTTGATAATGCAGGGTTTTTTAATTTGTTTGGTCTGAGATTTAATGATGGTCATTTTCTTTTGCAGTGGAATCAAATACATTGCCTCTCTCGCTGCAGTCTATAAGAAGTAGCCTACTGCTAGGCTTTAGGAGGTAAGATGATCAACTTAAATGTTCCTTGCCTGAATATGGACTGAATTCTCCTGTCCTTTTGACTTACTGCATGTGGAAAAATACAGCTATTCTTATCTTTCAGTGTACATTCAGTTTACCTGAAATAACCTTTGCCTATTTAATTTTTCCTTTTAAGTCATTGAATTAAATTTAGGCAGCTTTGTATCATCTTTTCCAAGAAATGCACACAGGTTTGGTAAAGATCCTGTTTCCAGGAAGAAAGTCCTGTTTCAAAATGGCAAGTTGGAGTTACAGACAAATTTGCATATGTATGTTCAGCTTATTGTTTAAGCATTTAATTACAAGGTGACTTTTATTCAGTAAAGTATCATTCTTCCCTTCTGTGTGCTCAGAGAATGTTAATGACCTTGCCCTTCCAATTTTGTTATTTTGAAGATAGATAAACATAAAGAAAAACTGAAAGAATAGTGAAAGGAAATACTCCCGTACTACCCTTTTTTATCTGATTTATTTTTTTGAGACGGAGTCTTGCTCTGTCGCCCAGGCTGTGATGATGCAATGGTGTGATCCCAGCTCACTGCAACCTCCGCCTCCTGGGTTCAGGTGATTCTCCTGCCTCAGCCTCCTGAGTAGCTGGGACTACAGGTGCCCACCACCATGCCCGGCTAAGATTTGTATTTTTAGTAGAGGTGGGGTTTCACCATGTTGGCCAGGCTGGTCTCAAACTCCTCACCTCAGGCGATTCACCTGCCTTGGCCTCCCAAAGTGCTGAGATTATAGGCATGAGCCACCGTGCCCATCCTCCATGTTACCCTTTGTGTAGATTTGCCAGTTGTTAATATTTTGCCATGCTTACTTTCTCTCATACCCTCTTTCTCTACACAGAAAGTACCTACACACACACACACACACACACACGTTTTTTTCTTTTTGGCTGAGCCACTTGAAGTTGTAGACATTATGACACTGGATCTTCCAGCATATTTTATTTCTCTTAAGAATAAAGTCATCTTGGCCAGGTACGGCGGCTCAAGCCTGTAATCCCAGCACTTTGGGAGGCCGAGACGGGCGGATCACGAGGTCAGGAGATCGAGACCATCCTGACTAACACGGTGAAACCCCGTCTCTACTAAAAAATACAAAAAACTAGCTGGGCGAGGTGGCGGGCACCTGTAGTCCCAGCTACTCGGGAGGCTGAGGCAGGAGACTGGCGTAAACCCAGGAGGCAGAGCTTGCAGTGAGCTGGGATCACGCCACTGCACTCCAGCCTGGGCGACAGAGTGAGACTCTGTCTCAAAAAAAAAAAGAATAAAGTCATCTCTAAAATCACAACATCAGTATCACTCTTTAAAAATTAACAATACTGTACCACCATCTGATATATGTAGTCCATGTTCAGATTTTCCCACTTTAACAAATTTCCTTTATAGATATTTCACTTTTTGACTGAGGAGTCAATTAAATTGATGCATTGGATTTGATTGCTGCATCTCTTTATTATCTTAATTCAGAACAATTTCCTTACCTTTTTTTGTTTGTTTGTTTGTTTGTTTGTTTTTGAGACGGAGTCTCGCTCTGTCACCCAGGCTGGAGTGCAGTGGCCGGATCTCAGCTCACTGCAAGCTCCCCTTCCCGGGTTTACGCCATTCTCCTGCCTCAGCCTCCCGAGTAGCTGGGACTACAGGCGCCCGCCACCTCGCCCGGCTAGTTTTTTGTATTTTTTAGTAGAGATGGGGTTTCACCATGTTAGCCAGGATGGTCTTGATCTCCTGACCTCGTGATCCGCCCGTCTTGGCCTCCTAAAGTGCTGGGATTACAGGCTTGAGCCACCGCGCCCGGCCTGTTTGTTTTTTAATAACTCTGGCTTTTTTTTTTTTTGAAGAGCCTAGGCTGGAATGTCTCTTCTACATTTTGTATTTTTCTGATTTTTGTTTTTCCCCATGATGAGACTCAGATTAAGCATTTTTAGCAAGAATACTCCATAGGTGATGGGCACATCTTATATTGTATCACATCAACAGATATAAAGGCAGGTGTGCAATAATGATGCCATCACCTAAGTTTGATCACTTGGTTAAGATGGTGATTCCCACATCTCTCTTGCAGAGGCACCTCATCCAGTTTGTAATTACTAAGAATACTATGGGGTGATAATTTGAGACTGTGTCTACCCTGTTTTTCCATTACTTTTCCGTCCTTGGTTTTAGCAGCCATGGGTAATCCTTGTTGAATTAGTTATTGGTAGTTAACACAAGGATGAGTTTCTTTTTTTGAGATAAGGTCTCGCTCTGTCCCCAAGGTTGGAGTGCAGTGGTGCAATCACAGCCTACTGCAGCATTTACCTCCCGGGCTCAAGCGATCCTTACATCTTACCCTCCCGAGCAGCTGGGACTATGGGCGCATGCCACCATGCCTGGCTGAGTTTTAAAATTTTTTTGTGGTGATGGGATCTCACTGTGTTGCCCAGGCTGTTCTGTTGAGAGAAGCAATATAGCACAGTGATTCATAGTTTTCTTTTCTTTTCTTTTTTTTTTTGAGACAGAATCTTGCTCTGTCACCCAGGCTGCAGTGCAGTGGTACGAACATGGCTCATTGCAGCCTCCATCTCCTGAGCTCAAGTAATCCTCCTGCTTCAGGCTCCCATTTAGCCGAGACTACAAGTGTGCACTACCACGCCCAGCTAATTTTAAAATTTTTTTGTGGAGATGGAGTCTCACCATGTTGCCCAGGCTGGTCTTGAACTTCTGGCCTCAGGTGGTGATCCCACCTCTGCCTTCCAAAGTGCTGGGATTACAAGTGTGAGCCACTGCACCTGCCGCCCAAATCTTTTTTGATTCATTGATCCCTTTGAGAATTTGTTGAAAGCTATGGCTCAATTTTCCCCGCAAAAGACCCATGTTATAAAATTATGACTATAATTTAATGGAGTTCATGAAGTACTTTCCCTCTCCCTATAAGAACCCTTATCATGGAAGCCAAATAAGAGCCTGGAGTGTATCCTTCCATGCTTTTCTCTGTATAGAAGCAGAAACTTGTAAGAGGTGTTTGAAGTTTTGTTTTGTTTAAACAAAAGTAATGCATCATACTTTACATACTACTCCTTATCTTTATTTTGCACTTAACAATACTTCATGAACACCTCTTGGTCTACTGATATAAATCTAAGTGTTTATTAATATCTGGAGAGGATTCCATGGTATGGCTATACCATAAATTTTCAATCACTCCTTTATTAATGGACTCAGATTGCTTCTAATTTTTGCCACTACCAAAACAACGTGGTACATTAAATATTATGTCCATATATATGTGTGTTTGTGCACATGCATGCATGTGTGTGTATATGTATTATATATACATTAGTTTTTTCCCCCTCAGTGGCTAGAATGTGAAAAAGAGACATCTGTTTTCAAGAGTGTATGTATTCTTTAATAGCTACTACCATACTACTTTCCAGAAAAAGTTGTATTAGCTCATACTTAGATTAGCAATTCACACTTCTACCAGCAATATATGAGAGTACCCACTTCCTGCAAACATACAGGTATTAGACATTATAATGCTTTTTAATTTTGGCCTAGCTGATGCATGAGAAATGACATCTCAATGTATAATTTTCAATTTGCATCTTCCTAACTATTAAGCAGGGTTAGAACATACTTATTGGCCATTTGGATTTCTTCTATGAAATGCCTATTTAAATTCTTTGCCAGTTTTCTACTAGGTCATACAGTTTTTCTTGTCAATTTATAAGGTGTTGCATTTGAGGGATATTTATACACTATCTCATGTGAAATACATGATTTTTTTTTTTAACCTTATTGCAGAGATGAGAGAGAAATGTAAGGATAAGATCTTGGATAGTTACTGGAAGGAGTCAAAGGAGTTTGTAGTCAGTGTTGCAAGCTGCAGAGATGGAGAAGAGATAGCCCTATAGAAAGAGGGTGTTCAGTTTGGTATTTGGAAAAGTTATTGAGTTGTTTTTTTTTTCAAAATGGAGATGAGGTCTCTATGTTGCCCGGAGTGCTGTCAAACTCCTGGGCTCAAGCGAACCTTCAGTGTTGGCCTCCCAAAGTACTGAGATTACAGGAATGAACCACTGGCCTGACCATTATTGAGTATCTTTAAGAGAAGAGTTTTGATACTACTGTAGTGGAAGAAGCCCAGCTAGAAGCTCTGAGAATCTTGGTGTCTTTGTTTTGTTTTTAATGATTGGATTATGTATACTATAACTGAATTTATCTATGCTTTCAGATTATTTATATTTTTATTTGAAAAGATACATTGAAAATACTGGAAAGGTTACCTTATCTTTAAACCACACCAGGCTAGGTGCTTTGCTTCTCCCCTGACTTACATCCTTTTTGGTGCTTTCCCTATTTGTTAGCATCTAAAATTTTTAATTGATTCCTGGGTTTAAAAATAGCCACAGATTGATCATTTTTTTAACTTTCCACTTTAGAGTTAGATAAAATGTTAAAATATGTTTAACAAAGGGGACATTACCCAGGAGCCTCCCGTGTTTGCACAGTTACAAATCCATCTTTATTCTTGACATAGTAAAAATAAGCGGATTCCTTCCAGGAACATATTTCAACATGTAGGTCCTAAAACTGTATACTATTGGTGAATTTTAATTTTTAGGTTGTGGTAATTTGGCATTTTTCATAAGAATATGTGCATAATTCAGAGCACTTGTGTGACTACAGGTGATTTCTTTCTTTTTCTTCTACTCCGAAAACTACTAAAAATTCAAAATGTAATTGATGTAATTGCAATTCATTATCTTGGCATTAATGTAGCCAGTGTATTTTTTTGTTTGATGTCAAATTAACTAGTATATTTAAAAATCCCTTTGTCAGTATAGTTATTGAAACAGTCACCTGTTGTGCTCCTGAGGGTCCCACTGTACTCTAGCAACTTTAGAATTGGCTGAGTGACTAGGAGAAAACTTACTGGCATTGATTTACATTGCCCGTAGAGCCAGGGTTAACTACCTACAACTCCTACAATGATTA